ATGATGGGAACAAACGTTAGTATACAAACCTAGCTTTTTGTGTTTGCATCTTCATGTGACATTATCACGGTGTGGTTTATAAATACGTTTTCTGCGATTTTCATTTAAAAATGAAATAAAGGGTTCTGGTATAATTCATCTGATTGAACAGGTAACCCATGTACTTTAAAGCAGTTGCTGAGGCCTTGGTTCAAATCTGCTCCAAGGCCATTTACTGCATGCCTTTGGCCTGCTTTACTGTCTTCTCTCCTCTATCTGTCTTAAGTAAAGGCTAAAAAATACATTAAATTAATCAAAAACTGACCAATTCACCATTTCATTTGTTCCATGCAAATTTCTACAAGCTACATTTCTTGAACAAATTTGTCTTTCCAGTGGAATAACCCAGCATTTTATATTTGCACGAGATTTGCAAACTTCAGATGATCCCACCTCTGAAATAATTTAGTCTAGTCCGTGCACAAGAAGTCAATGGACTTTTATTGGCTTCAATGTCTTTAATTTTCTTAATCGATCCGTATTATTTGTGTAAATACAATTCAGTATGTTGATCTGTGAATATCGATGTGATTTTTCTTTGTTAACCTCATGCTTTAGACTTTGTCCCTTCTCGTTCATCTTAAATCTTCCTTTCTTCAAGCCAAAGTCACTTGTTTGTAACATTTTCCCCCCAATCGTCCATCTTTCTTCTTTCTTGTCCGTCCTTGCCTCTCGGTGATGATGTATTAGATATATTTTGGAACACTAGTGACTGCCCTCCTGGATGTGCACCTGCTCTCCTTCTCACTCATCTGTCTTTCTCCTCTTTGTCTTACCATCTCTCATTTACCTGTCCCCCTCCATTCCTAGTTCTACGTGCCCCCCCACCCCACACTCACTTTCCCTCTCTCGCTCACTCTCTCACTGTGTGTCACTTGGCTGTCTTCAGCCAGACAGGCTTTTTCTTTATGGCAGCTGACATGTGGCAATTTCCTTTCGTTAATGACAAGAAATGTGCCAATTACCTCTCCGGATGTTTTACTGCCAATCAGACGCTAACGAGCTGTGAGCGTGAGCATTTGGATGTGTGTGTATAACTTTGTGTATCTGTGTTTATGTCTTTTGAATCTGTTGGCATGAAAGAAACCTGAACAAGTTCAATGTGACATGAAGTTTTCTGCACATATGCAATTAGTATACAGACTGTGTAGCTTAGTTCCTTTAAAGACTGGTACTAGATTAGATCATACAGAAGTATGCCGTGCTGTGATTGGGATTCTGTTCAGTTCAGGTTTATCTATATAACGCCAATTCACAACAGTAGTTGCCTCAAGGCACTGTATTATTGTAAGGCAAAGAACCTATAATGATACAGAGAAATCTCCAACAATCAGATGACACCCTATGAGCAAGAACTTGTCACCAGTGGGAAGGAAAAGAGGGACACAGGACAAAAGATGCACTGTTGAGCTGAGCCAGAGATTAATAATAACTAATGATATACATATAAACAAACACATAGTAAGTGAAAAAAGGTGAGTGAAGGAGAAACACCCAGTGCATGATGAGAAGCCCCCAGCAGCCTACGCCTATTGTAACATAACTGAGGAAGGATTCAGGGTCACCTGATACGCCACACTTATTACACCACATATGCATAAACAGACAGTCTGCAAAGAAGAGTCTGTAAAAACACTTCCACCTGAAAAAGCACAGGTCATGCTAAAAGTATTCTTTCACGACATATACAACTTACACACAATATTACACAATACACACTATACATATACATACACAATATTACAGTTTTTGATGCTTGCATGTTGCACTTTGAATTTTACAAAATTTATGTGTGTGTGTGTGTGTGTGTGTGTGTGTGTGTGTGTGTGTGCGTGTGTGTGTGTATGAATTTCAGTGGCCCTAATCTTCTTCTGTAACATGTAGCTTTACCTGTTCAAAGTACGTTTCAAATTAACGGAGCATATGTGATATTGTACAAAGAAACCCTATCACATGAAGGAACATGCCAAAAAATAATGGTTTCATCCTTTAAATGTGCAAATTTGCTGCTTTTACTTTTAAGAAGTTTGATAGTAAAACCTGTTTAAGCTACCTGTCAGCAGCAAACCTCAATTTAAAAAAACCCAAAAAACCAACAACATTAAACATGCATTTTCAGCCAAGTCTAAAACTTTTGTGATCTTTTCGAATGTCCGGAGCATTATCAGTTGCCTGACAAAGAAACCATCAGTCACAGCCCTGTAGCCAAACAACCTTTTATAAATGAGTCCTAAATATAGTCAGTACAAAATAATCGGTGAACCATTGCTCAGTTTAGCTCTCTCACACGTTTCCCCCTTTTGACATGAGTTTCTACCACTTTATATTTCTTGTCACTCTGTCTCCCTCCCACCCCTCCATCTGCACTGAAAAGCGCTTTTGTTCAATTTTTAATTACCTTCTCATATAAAAGTGCTCTTGACATCTGAACACAGCAAATTTGAAGAGGCAGCCTCTGTGATTGGTGCAAAATTGGATAACCACCTCTTTGTATCAACTGTCAATCTCTATTCTAAGAAGAGACCTTTCACTTTTTAATTCCCTGTGCCCAACACACACTGATGCAGGCACCAAAAGAGAAAATATTTATGTCAAAAACAACAACAACAACAACAAAAAAACAGCCATTGTTTCTCCTGTTTGCATCATTAGATTGTTTGCTTTTGGTATTGCTTGTGTGTGGGAACAAAAGACAAAAAGTGGCAATCAGATCACTGTCAAATCTTTGTTCTCTGAACATAGGGGTCCTTCTTTCTGGTAGTGCTCGAAATGTTTTATTCATTATTAAAGACTGAGGGTGACACACACATGTACAGAAAATGTATGGGACCCGTACTCAGTAACTCTCCTGATGCCTGCACTTAAATTAGTCAGTTCTACATATATAAATATACGTAGAATTCTATACATATGTATAGAATATAAACCTTCTTGTTATATTTTTACAGTTACAGTTTGTTATTGCCTTCTTTGTAGTGAAATCGTGGTAATGTACACAGCATATGTGACTTAGTTGTGTCGGTATAAAATAAGAGAAACTTTGTAGAAGATGTCTGACTGACACCTGAGCTGCTGTCAAAATAATTTAAAGAAGACAGCTCAATAGCAGGAAACAACTAACTATAAACACTCACCAGCCACTTGATTAGGTACACCTTGCTAGTACCAGATTGAACCCCTTTTTACCCTCAATCTGTCCTAATGCTTGCACAGTTCCTGCAGATTCAGCAGCTGTACATCCATGATGTAAATCTGCTGTTCTACCACATTGCAAAGGTGATCTATTGGATTGAGATCTGGTGACTGTAAAGGACATTTGAATAGAGTGAACACATGAATGGATCTGAATGACATGATGTGTTACCCTGCTGGATAAGTGTGTGTGTGTGTGTGTGTGTGTGTGCGTGTGTATATGTATATGTAAACTCTGCTTTTATTAATGATCTAGACAGAAGTCTAATGAACTAGGTTAACATAAAACATTTCTTTTTGCACGAGTTCCTTGCAGAAATTATTATTTTTTAAATAATGATGTATCTGTGAATGATCTATCTCCTATATATTGCAATATACAGTCTGTCATGCTGCACTTTGTTCTCAAGGGAGAGAAATGTTTAGTTATATTTAATAGACGGCAAGTGATGGAACTGCGTCCCTCGTGGCTCTGTGAGATTGATTCGACTGATACGTGTTTATAGAGGAAGAAATTCATAAGCACCAAATGAACAGTGAATATACATTAAGCTTACAGTGGTTCACTGAAATGCTCAGTTGATATTGTGTTTTAAACCCCGTCTTTTTTCCGATGTAAGTGTGTGATGGGGATAAGTGCCTGTTGATGTGTTGTATGCAACAATTTGGGACTTGTTTACTGAGAATTAACTGTGAAAGGAAGTATTTAAAGTCTGTATTTTTAAAATAAGATAAACTTTACATAGCAAAAACTAGAAAAAGAAAGAGCAGGTAGTCTTGCTGAGGTGCGATGCCGGTGATGCTGATATCCCAGTGCATGTCATAGTGGGTCTGTATTGTCTTTTGAGAAACTCCTAACAATGCCGGTCTTATAACAATGGCCAGTGTATTGTACGTTTTCACAGCACAAAATGCTGTTTCTGTGTTGTTGCCTAAGAAATTCAAAAACAACAGTGACTGTTTTGTCTTGGCCAGTCTCATATCAGGTTATTGCCCTACTTTTTGCGATATTCTATCTCTCATGAGAAAGCCCCTTTATAAACATCCTGCTTATCTTTCTCTGTAGTCCTCCTTGGTGTCTTATCTCTTATCAGGCCCTGTTACTCATGGGCTATCACAATGCACAGGAAGTTAGCTGTTTGCCAGGCCTCTTCATCACTGGACAGTTTCTTTGAAGAAAACCAGAGAACCAGGAAATATTTTGAATCAAACTGGCTGCGGACTGTGAGGCGGCACATGTTTTTCTTTTCTCTCTTCTTGAAGAGAGAAAAGGGATCTCGGTGAATTACAGCAAATAAAGCCTCCAAATGATCTTCTGTTCTGCGATAGTGCCTGGAGTGCAATATCAGTTTCATTTGGAAAAATGGAACTCAAAAGAAAAGGTCAGAGAGCTTCTCAGCCTGAGGAATTCTGGAGAGTTTTCTTGTCTCTGTTGTCTGACAGCGCCGCTGTTACTGCGGCGCTTTGTTCTAGGGGGAGAATAAAAAGAGCATGATAGCTATTGACTTTTTGTAGCAGGACCTCAGAGTAAACATAGTAATCCTGGCACTCACAGTTATTTGAGAGGTTAGACAGAAACTACACAAAAACCATCACTGTTTAAACACTTCACTTTGATTTTTGGTACAATTTAATGAGGTCAAACTGTCTTATATCTCCTTTCACGTCCTCCGTTTAAAAAAAAAAAAAGCATTTCTGTTGCCTCCAAGCTCGCAGTTTTCTTTCTCACTTTCACATTCCTGATTTCCTTTGTTTGGTTTTTTTTGTAGGTGGAGTGGCTTAAGAACGAGGAGGTTATCGACCCTGCAGACGACAGAAACTTCTACATCACCATCGACCACAACCTCATTATTAAACAGGCTCGCCTCTCTGACACGGCCAACTACACCTGTGTGGCAAAGAACATTGTGGCGAAAAGACGCAGCACAACTGCCACAGTTATTGTCTATGGTAACCTACAGTCTTACCTTTCTACACGTTAATACAATTCGATTCAAAGTAGTTTACATGTGTCTGACCAGCTCATTGTTCTTGCCAACCACACGGCTGATTAGTAAAGTGAGACACTGGTGTTGAGGAAACTTCCTTTATGAAGTTCAGCTCGGCTCAAAGTAAAAACAAATTTCAAAGTCACTCTGCATACTTTAAATCTCCCCCTCTCTCTCTCCTGCAGCGTGTAACATTCACTCATTTTGTTCCTGCCAGAAGGTGTGCAAGGAATGGAAGATTTGTTTTTTTTCTCTTTTTTGATCTGCAGAGGTGCTGATGTGGCTGAGCTGTACTTAAAGAGACCCCTGCTGTGGTTTCACGCAGCCTCGCGCACTGTCTCTCTAACATCAGCTAACATGACTGTTATTGCACAGCACGGTTCTGACGTTAAACTTCAACAGCTGCTGGAGGCTACTTAAGACAGAACAAATGACACGTGAAGCAAATGTTCCTTTGAACCTCAGACATTGTTCTTTTTTTCTGTAGAAATGACTACTGGCTTGATAGCTCATTTAACTGAGGCCAGCAGAGTTCATCCTGTGCTTGATAGAACTTTTCATGGCTTTGCCAATTTAACTCTAAAAGGGAATAATAAAACAACTGCCTTCTTTCAGGTGCAGAAGTGCTTACAGATTTTATTCACTTTGCACGAACAGTGTAATGCATATTTCTAAATGAAGGTGGCGTATAAATACAGATGTGCATATAGTGCACATACCATAAAGGTGACCAGATGTCTGATACCATTATCAGAGTTTAGCTTCAAAGCCAGAATTTTCTCATCCTGTTCCCTTATCTCTTCCCTGGACTTACTGCATGGTTAGTATTATAATAGGAAGGCAGTGAGACAAGTGTCTCCTCAAGAATTTCATGTTACTAGCAGAGTATATTAGAGCCAAGTGTCAAAAAAGCACTTTGATGTCAGCCTGTCCTTTTCCTTTCCAAAGAGGACTACACAAGCATTCATGTATACCCTGATTTCCTAAAAAGGCTGGGACTCTGTCTCAAGTGTGAAAGAGATTGCACTGACCTATAAATCAGTTAAACACTATATTCATCTAAAAGAAAAAGCTGAACATGTCAAAATATTGGATAGGCCAACAAAAAACAGTTGTTTAATGCTGCTAAAAAGAGAATCAGGACCCCCTGGAGTAACCTCTTACAATCTGTTCAGTTAATCTGCAGTGTTTCAGTTTGGGGATTGTATCATTTGTTGTATATACTGTAATATCATTAAAGGATTCAGAGAATTTGGATAAATCTCAGCACACCAGGGTAAAGTCTGCAAATTGTTATCGAATGGCTGTGTCCTTTGGCTGCTCATGTGGCACCAGATATGATTCTGTAGTGGAAAAGTGGAAAACACAGCTTGAGTTCAGAAACACTTCTGAAAACCTCTGCAAATAAAAACAAATGGTATAAAAATAAGATCCAGAAACGCTGCAGATTTCTCTCTGCCTCATCCTGTGGGCGATGAGCTGAAGGTGAGAAGGATGGTGGTCTTGTGGCCGGTGCACAGCTTAAGAGTATCAGTATCAGAAATGGTATGGGGGGAACATTAGTGCACATGGTATATGTGACCTGCATTGTTGATGCTAAACAGTATGTACATGTTTTGGATATGGGTCTGTAGTAAGTCTGTAGTCCAGGTGCTAAACTGGCCTGCCTTTGGTTCAGACCTGTTGGAAACATTTGTTTCAATGTGAAACAAAAATAGTTTTGCAAATCTTTTGCATTTTACACAGTCGTTCAGCTGTTTTGGAAATAAGTCTCTTTTGGAAAGGGGAAGCATAAGTTGACAGTACTATTGTACAATATTACTGTACATGAAAGTATACACATTTCCCTGCAAAGAAGTGTGAGAAAACCTAGAGAATAAGGGCTATGCCTAATACTAGTGATATATAAATTAGAAGGAAAGGGAGCATGTTTATATCCCAGAGGTTTCCAGCAAAATCCCAGACAAAGATACTAGAAACAGTAAGTTGATAAGAAGAAAATGGCAGGGAGAGAAGAAGAAAAGAGGCGCGAAAGACAGAAGATAGAGCCTTTATTCATGGAGGAGACAAAGCAGACAGTAAATAAATGTGGGTCTTCCCCCAGAGTCCAATATTTTGGGCTTCACTCATAAGCATGTCACATTTGAAGGTCTGAGACTCCAAGGGGCCTGGTTCCACCATCTGAAATGCCACAGACTTGTTCTCAGCCACAAGCCCTGATGTCACTCCGCGCTGGATTTAGTCGCTGACAGAGATGGATGAGAGAGGGAAGAGAGGCATTAGAGGGAATCAGTGAATGGAAAATGCAGCAGTCTGACCAGAATTTACTGTCTGTCTGCAGTGCAAAGTAATTGCCCGATAGTTTAAGGTCAAAATGCAAAACAAAATGAACAATATTGGTACATTTTATAGTAGGCAAATTACTTGAACCTCTGAGCTGGGCTTTCTTAGACAGTCAAATTAATGAGCTGGTCACTGAAAACAAACATGCAGAGTTTTTAATTTCATGGGTTTAGTTCTTTCACTCTAATTCACACACATTTGTGTTTTATTTTATTATTCAATTTAACAGTTTCACAGACCATAATCAAGTTATACTTAACATGTTTTACCACCGTGTGTTTCCAGTGAATGGTGGATGGTCGACATGGACAGAGTGGTCAGTGTGTAACAGCCGCTGTGGCCGTGGTTACCAGAAACGCACACGGAGCTGTACTAACCCAGCGCCACTCAATGGCGGTGCCATCTGTGAAGGGCAAGGCATCCAGAAGCTACCGTGTAATCCTCTCTGCCCAGGTATTAAAATGATAACACGCCCATGTGTACGTGGGCGTGTTGAGTTCAGGTGCACATAAACGAAATGCATTCAATTTGATGCGACTCTGTACGTTTGCACAAATTCCGCCCAGTTCGTGCATCCACCGCACCCACTCCACCTGCTCGCGCGCTAAATTCATCTTCATCTTCTCATTTGCCATCTCGTTCGCTCGACCCTCATCTGTCCTGTCTGTTATGTGATAGTGGATGGCCTGTGGACAGAGTGGAGTAAGTGGTCCACCTGTGGGACAGAGTGCACCCACTGGAGGAGGAGAGAATGCAGCGACCCAGCACCCAAAAACGGGGGAAAGGACTGTGAGGGCATGGTGCTCCAGTCTAAGAACTGCACCGATGGGCTGTGCATGCAGAGTGAGTACCCGATTAATCCTCTGCGACTGTCTGACCTGCCAACAAAAGAAATCTCTTCACCCTTTGACCGGGACTTTCACTGTGCTCTTTCATCACTGCGCGCTGTGTTTCACATCCTCACATAACACGCTCACCCTGTCCTCACCCAGTCTGTTTCACTTCGCTCATACATAAACAATAAGACAAGCCGAAACGCCTCTCTGTCCTCTGCACTTGATCTGTTTCTCTTTATTTTTATGTACACAACAGACAAAAGCGTTTTTGATCAAAGCAACATAAAATCAAAAACCACCACTCATCTTCCTGTGTCAGTTCTATTGCAAGCATAAGTACACGTTTAAAAAAAAAGTACTTGGCCGCAAGAGGAAGCAATCTAACTAATTATCCTTGTCATAAGCTAAGAATTTGGGAGGTATATTTGAAAATAATAAGTCATTATGCACTAATTACACAAAGGGGAGGGGGCACAACGACTAAACTGCTTTGATTACTACCTTTACTGAAAAACTCTGGATTCCTGCGTCCAACGATAGGAAACACAGGCCACAAAGTAGCACGTGTTTGGACTCGCCCTCTTTTCCGAGCTGGCCTTTATGTTCACTGTAAAGTGAACAAATACTTATCATTTGGTATTACAACAACTTAAAAAACCGCAAAAGACATCCAGATGCACCAGCATTTTTTTTTCTTTGCTTTTACTTTGTCTTTCAAGTAGCAAACTAAAGCCAGTTTGTGGTGCAGCCAGATATTTTTCTGCAGGCAGAGAATTGTTTTCTTCTCCTCTTTGTTCCAGTGAAGTTAAAAACAGCCACGCACTCCAGTGAAGCCAACAATCCTGCTTCCTCTGCCTTATAACACATTCACAGATTAGAATCGAGCCGCAGTTGCTTTGATGCACGTTTGTGTGTATGTGTTTGCATGCGTGCCGCAGTATTATGTTGTTACAGGGTGAAACACCTACATCCTAAAACATCAAAACTAAACCAAAAGTACTAGTAGTGATTCTGTGCCTTTAATAAAAAGAGAGAGTCTGTGAAAGGGAGAGAGCATCGCAGAGTAAGTGAATTAAACTCTGTGTCTAGTTGCATAAAATTCCTATTTAATAAACATCTCTGTAGGTGTAGGACCCAATCGCTGTCACAAATGCCTCTGTCGTGTGTATAACCTATTACAGATGGTGATGTGACACTAATAATATAACAGCAGCTCAGCTGCTAGATGTATGAAATTTGAGACAGCTAGCGACTGCTGTGTGCAGCAGATCTGAGGTTTTGCTGCACCATAAGGTTGTAAACTGCTACCTGTTGATGTGGTGTAGCATAGGTTACATCTTCAGATGCAGATGGCTGGTGGATCTGTATGCCTCTGAAGTAGATGCCTGCCGTCACACGCATGTTCTATATGTGCTAAGGACGGTGTTCAGGAAACGTTTTAACATCAGAGAGAGGTTGCATTAGCTCATTACGAGAGGGAGCACATATGTAAACGGCATATAGAAGCACGAGAGAGAGAGAGAGAAAAAAAATCAATAAGAAGGCCGTGACAGATGTGCTGTTATTTGTCTCTCTTCGTCTTGTTTTATTTCCCTCTGCAACACAACATATGTTCACCCCACACTTCCCTGCCCTTCTGTACGCCCTTTGCAACTCAGCCTACACCAAAAGCATTAGTTCTTGGTAGATTGATGGCTAGTTTTCAGAGAATATAAAGCCATAATGATATAGATTTAGGATCATTTCAGAGATTGATTTTCTTTCTTTTCTTTTTTTTGGGGGAAGCTAAAAGGGTGAAGCCACTTATGTCAATGCTAATGACCATTTCCACAAGCATTTAGGAGAACGGCCCATTATCTGAAAGCTCATGTTATGGCAAATATGATTGGGAATGGAAGTTGTGTGCAATCTGAACTCACCTTGGACCGCTGGTCTGCTCCCTCTAGTGCAGGGCCGTGATCTGAGCAAACACGTGTCTGTGGATTCCATTGCAGCTTGATCTTATTTTCTGTTGTTTGAATTTATTTAAATCATTTCAATTGCAGTCCATCACCAAAATCCACCGAAGGAATTTGATAGACCAGACCTTGAAATAGAACGTGGTGCTCAGCTCCATCACTGCCTCCTGCAGAAATACAACTGACTCGCGTCAAAAAGAGTTGTTATAATTAACTTTGCAGCTTGTTTATCACATTTAGACTGTCAGGGAGTTTTCTGGGTGGGAGGGGTTGGATTTAACAAAGTTATGTGTCTTTAAATTGATCTAGAAAGGTTGCACTCTGCGTGTTTAGAGAGAAGTTCCCGACTCTTACACATGTAGAGTTTTCACTGTTCACTTAGCCTGACCTGTCTAAATCTCTTTTTTGCGCTCCCCCTGTGGTCTGCAGCTCTTGATACTGATGTTGTTTTTCAAGCCTTTGGTAACCCTGCTCTCTGACACGACATTTTCTCTGACATATTGATCTAGAGAGAGGGGAACACCAACTCCAGCAAGGGGACACGCTTCATTGCTATCGAACACCAGAGGCAGGACAGCCGTGACTCCTAAGCTTCAGTTCAGACTCTTAAGTTTCAGTTCAGCCTCCAAACACCATAAAGTTATATCCTCTGTGTTTTATATGCGGTTTCAAAGATTAGTTAAAATGTCAATAAATATTATTTGTCATGTAATTAGCAATTTCATTAAACATAGAAGAGTAAGGAGCCTTTAAATAACGTGACAAATGACTTTCTCTTCCCCAAATGACAGTGTATTTCCCAGAGATTGGAAATCTGTCACATTCAAAGGAGTAATTGTTAAAACACAGACAATGATTTCCTGTACTATGCTTCCCTCTTCCTCTCCCAGCTCTGTGTTGCCAATAAAGAATAAACTTCGGCGATCTGACGTTTCCTTATGAGCCCACCCACTGAAGCATGCCTTTATGTCGGCTGTGCTGTAGACTCGGTTGGGCTGAATAGAAACTCCACAGGATGGGTTCAAATGGGCCATCAGTTAGACTGAATGCAACAGCCGACCTCCCCCTGCTCCGTCCCGGCATCCCGGTTGCCTGATTACATGTACACACCAATCCCATCTATCAGGCCATTGATTTTCCTGTCAGTCCACTTGTCTGCCTGTGGCTCTCTCCCTTTTCCAATAAGGACTTCATTGTTTGTATAGTTGTTTATGGATGTCCCAGGGAGACTGAATATTATGTGTGCTTGTGCACTATTCCTGGCTCTGTCTTTCTAGCCTGCTTTGCACTTCATTTCAGTAAAAAACCTGGCCACAACAAAAAACAACCAAGACCCCAGTTTGGGCCAAAAAACACACACACACACAAACACATACACACATAAAAAAAAACAACCTATCTTAACTGAAGATTTTTCTAATCTCTCAATCGCATGTCTTCAACTTTCCACATCACTGTCCTTCAGCCCTTTTCCACTTCCTGCTTCCCTAACATAATCATTCCTTTTATCTCGCGCACTACCCTCTCCATCCACCTTCCAGTGACAGATGAAAGGCTGTAGGTTCTGCCGACTCGGCTGGAGCCCACACTTTATCAGCCCCACCATCCCCCTCACCTGCCAGCATCAGTCCTGCTGCTGCTAAGGCACTAAGCCCAGTTGATGGATCGCGCCACTCTCTTACAGAACCTCCATGTTTCCCCTGCTCTCCTCATCCATCTCCATACACAGATATAGAGAGGAGGGGCCAAATCAAGAAAGATCGCTTCCCGGTGCCATCACTCCTACTCATGAGTTTGTTGCTGTCTCATTTGTTGAGTTTGTTTTTCTGTTGGAAATTTGATTTTCATCATCCCTCTCCTCCCCCCCACCCTCATCTTTCTCTCTTCCCTCCCCTTCTCCATACCTCTCGCTCTACTATCCATATCCGCTTCTCTCTTCAAGGTTCCTTATATCAGAAGTCCTCTGAGGCAAAAGACAAGAGTGATATTGGAAATTCATGTGAGTTATTGTTTTGTTTTGTTTTTTCCCCCCATTTCGTTCTTTTTTCATTATTTCTGCATTCTTGTCACGTCTGCCTTTGTTTTGTTTTTTTTAAGGCATCTTTAATGCTTTAATGTGCACGACCTGAATTTGCAGTCTTACATACAGATTTTCCTTTTTAGCAAAAAGCAACATTTCAGAAATAGCCATTTTGCACTAAAAGCATAAAACAAAACACAACAACGTGTCCATAAGTAAAATGAAAAACAATGTTTGCGAATGTTCTTCTGTGTCCACCAGCGAGTTATTGTTGCTCTTCTGTTTTTTACTTCATAACCACCTCAGGATATGATCCGTTTTGATCGCCCTAACCCGTTCCTCGTAATGTGTCTGTGCTAGCAGGCTGCTTGTTTACGGCCACGCTACTATTCTCAAAGTAAGAGCGGACCCTGCTCTTCACCCTGCCGAACTTTGCCTCACCAGCAGCTCATGCACTGTGTCAAGCAGACATTTTAACCTACCAGATAGTAAAGCTTTCGGAAATGAACATTGTTTATTGATCAGTTACCAGGCAAGAGCATAAACTCAAAATAATATTTGCTGTGACCTCCATTTGCTTTAAAATATCACCAGTTCTCATAGAAATATCCTCAGTATGTGTGTGTGCATATATATATATATATATATATATATATTTCAAAATTCTCAGCTAGAAGAATTTTTGTAGGTTGTTCTTGCACAGTTCTTCTGTGGATTTCGGCTGCTTTAAGATTTTTGTCTCTTCATGTATAATTTAGGGCTGACTCAATGTTCTGGTCGGAGTGAGGGGCGAGGCTCTGTAAGACTGTTGCTTCTTGGTTTTAAAGGTCTTTGTAAATCTGTCTGTTTTTGGGTTGTTGTTCGTTTAAATGTGACCTTTTCAAAGAGCCCATTTGTTGGTATGTGCTATGGTTAAGAATTTGCACATCTATGCTGATTTTCTTTGGGGGGGGTGGGGGCATTATTTTCCATCTCTCACCCATCTCTTTGTAAATTTTTGCAACCTCGCTGAGAATGAAGTGTTCAATAATTCCTTTCAGTTTCATTTCTTGTACTTTCCAACAATGGCTCATGTTCAAAGCGATGTATTAATCTAAGTGATACGTTTTAATGCGTACACTTAGCAGGTTGCTGCCTTTATCATCAAAGCATGAATAGAAGATTATTCGACTGAGGGGATATATGTTAAATAACTGCGGGGAAGCTTGGCAGAGGGAACGCAGTGAAATTACATTTTCAAACTTTCATCACTGACTCCCTGCTCTGTTTTCTGTTTGTGTCTGCGCTAGAAGAAGGATTAGAGGATGTATCTTTAATGTGATGTCTCACTCTAGGCTGAAAAGTCATGGCTGGGACATGCATGTCCTTCCTCACAGAAAACATCTATGGGAGCACTACAATATTAATACCCTTTTTCCCCACTTCAATTGTAGTCTTTCAATAAAAATTACAGAAATGATCTTTAATTGAAATGGAGGTCACTCTAAATATTATTCAATAGGGATTCATCAAGAAATTAAATGTAATATGATTTAAATAAGTGTTGAATAGTGGACTTTTTTAATTACATTGAAATCCTTTTTATGGAATAAAAATCAAACCATAAGTTACTGAAAATGAAGCCAGAAAGGAAGTATGTGATTAAAATGACACAACGCGTGACTTTCACTTGTCACGAAAGCACTCTGCTCTTGGTTTCCTTTCGCTCCGCTCCTTTATCCTCCTTTGTGCGCGAGAACACAAGAGACACAGACTGAGTGCCATCTGTATCCCTGAGACACACGAGGCTAATTTACACAAATGCTCGGCCATCATGGACGTCTTCAAAGCGCCCTGTATGGATTTATGGGTGACACTGCCATCTACTGGTGCAGATATTGTGCAATTTCAACACACACATCATCTCAAAAATTGTTGTGTCTGCCCGATCACAACACCTTTTTGTTCTCCTGTTGATAAGAGTGTGTTTGTAAGCATTTGCTTTGGCGTTTGCCTTTCTTTGGACAATGACTTCACTTGTGCAATGTCCATGCATGTGTTGAACAATACGTGCACACATGCTCATACATGCCTTTTTGACATTTCGTGTCCTCCACATAAGAGCTTCACCCCCATTTGTCAACTTGGTGACAGTGAAGGACATTCCTTATCAAACACCAAAGAGAGTTCAGACTGTCAGTAGGCATCCATTAAAAGGTTTGATCTTTAATGAGAGCCCGTCTGAGTCTGTATTTCTAAAAGGCACATATATCCATGCCAGGCCTACTAATCACTGAGGCTTCTCCAGCTGGATAGTGGACAGAAAGTCTCTGGGAGGGAGACGGAGATGAAAGACAATTTGAGAAATGTGAGCCATGTCTAGATCTTATCTGCAGTGTGTAAGAACAAAAACAGAGACAGACTCTGAACTTCAGCACAGAGCATGGTAATTTGAAGATGAAAACATCGACATCTCTGTCTTCAGAACTTTTGATCTTGGTTCTGAGCAGAAATCTTTGTGTCACTGGACCGCGGTGGAACAGCCTTCTTTATTAATTGTGCTGTTTAAATGAATTTTTGTCACCATTTACTTTATTATATGGTTATTACATTGTTATTTTATCAAGGTCTTGCACATGACACAGTGCAGTATGTGTTATTTCAAGAATTCTGTGGCCATTTTTAACATTCGCATACAAGATAGTGAACAGATGTCGGCGTGCCTTTTAGTGTGTCGCACATGTCCAAAGCAAACAGTGAAAAAAGGCCCGATGATGTGTGTCAAACTAAGTTGCCTGCATCATTATCTCGCCTCAGTTTTAACAATCAAGAGAGCCTCGTGTTTTTTTCATGAACTGTGTTTCCCACAGCAGGTCAGCATTAATCAAAAAAGACTGGAGCTACACTTCGTGCATTTATTTCTCAGTAGATAGTTATTAATATCCGGCTCAATCGTAAACCAGGATATTACCCTGCTGATAATGGCTTCATCACAAGTCCTGCATACTGAGAGAAAAAGGCTTTATGTCATAAATGGAAGCATTACGAGATCTTAAAAGACTTTTTTTTTTTCTGTCTGTGTTTTTTGTCTTTCGTCCCCAAACTCCTTCTCCAGTGGCCCCCACTACTGATGATGTAGCTCTTTATGTGGGTATTGTGATAGCAGTGATCATGTGCCTGGTTATCTCCGTCGTCGTGGCACTCTTCATCTACAGGAAGAACCACCGGGACTTCAGCTCTGACATCATTGATTCCTCTGCCCTCAACGGAGGGTTCCAGCCGGTCAGCATTAAGACCGCTCGCAAAGGTGAGTTATACGAGAGAGGCGTGTGTGAGTGTTTGAGCGTTGGTTTTTCTATATATCAAAATGTAACTGCATCTCAAATCGGTACATAAATAGATTAAACTTTCTTCTGTGTGAAAGGTAAGTGCACCTTTGCTGTCCTAGAGTTGCCCCCTTTAATCCAAGGAACTTTTAGATCCGTAACTGTGTCACTGGCTTAAAAATTTTACCATTTTTCCCAAGTAAAAATCCCTTCAGTTGCAAGATATTTGAAGAAAAAGGCCATTTGAATGGGATTCTATAGCCCTCCATTTGTTCTTTTTGAGCCCATTATTAGTGGATTTCCTTTTGTCACTAGTATAATTATCCTGTTAGTTTCAGCTTTTGGGCAAATGGTCTCACAATATCTTCATTTGCTCTTTGATATCATGAAGAATTAATTGTTAAATCAGTCACTGCAAGCTGCCCAGTCCCAGATGCAGCTAACCCTAATCCATTACATTTGGTGAGCTGTTTTTGGTCTGCGCCAAACATTTTTATGTATTCTGACCAAACAGTTCTGCCCTCGATTCGCCTGTCTACATCACATTATTCCAAGACGTCTGGTTCGTACCTGTATGTTCACCGGCCAGCTGTGATTTTGCTCTAATGTTCTTTTTGGACAACTTTTCAACTTTTTCCTGGAACGCCTCTCACACACGTCAGATTTTAAGATTTTTTTGGTTGTATATTCAAGCACTTGCATCCCAACAGTTGCAAAATAAACCCGCAAATCATGGGATCAAGTTTTCAAGCATTCCTTGATGACTTCTTTTTTGCATCAGACAGTCTGCTTTTGCTGTGGCAGCTGTTCCCACACATGGAAATAGCTATTATTTTACCAAGAAGTGTAATAAATTTAACAAATGAGGCAAAACTTAAATGCACAAAGTTTTGAAAGAACCTAATGTGCCAAATGTTTCCTCAAAACCTGCCCAAAAACCGTGTTAAAAACGGAATATTTTGTTTCCATAAAATTAAGATACAGAAAGTGGCTCCGTGTATTGTTGAAGCTTAAGCACAATTCAATCCTCTTTTAGTAAAGGTGTTGCTACTTAATGGTACAGACTCAGTTCAGCAGATTAAAAGAAATGTAATACTCGACCTTAGACACACCTGTGTTGTCAGGCATATGGAATGACTTTCATTAGTGCTGGCATTAATAATAGCTTCATTATCTTCAAAACATTACCTTAACCCACTGAGACACATCTGACTCTGGAGGCACGTGCGTCAGCCGTGGTGAAACTATTAAAATGCTTGCTGTTGTGATGGAAGGCCACATTATGCCCAGTCATTAAAGCACAATAAGGCCAGTCTCTGTGTAATTAGATTTGGACTGTTGATGCAGGACTTAAAGTAAGTTACATGCATGAGGACAGGTCACTGTGAACTGGCCAAAAAGACAGCAGGGAGAGAGACAGAAATATGTAACTGTGTTGTAAATGATTAGTGTGAGCTTTTGGAAAGAGAAAATAAATAAATAAATAAAAGCAGAATAGATAAAAACACAATGAAGAGACTAGAGACGAAGCTTTTTAATGTGGGACAATTCAAAAAGATAAACACCATCGAACAACAACCCTTGTTAAAGGTGTTGCTTCTGTCACCGCTCTTATAAAGTAAAGGATAATTTGAAGCCAAGCCTATTTAAAACAGCTCCCGAGCAGAAGGCACTTTGGTTAAAGAATCTACCAATATTCAAGCTTTTTCATTTATTTATTATTTTCTAAAAGAAATCCAAACTCTGAAACTGTATAATGAAGCTGAATTTATGTGAATAACATTATATTTAAATCATTTTACTTTCTGTTGATTATATATCCTTAACATTATCCTTCACCTTTACAGATATAGTTAATATATTAAGTATTATAATATAGATCGATGTTACTGTGGGGTTATTCATATTTCATATGTTTGAACCACCTGATCATGACAGAAACAATTGGTGGTGATTTAAAAAACAGTGGTGTTGGAGGAATCATATAAGCTGATCCACTTTACTTCCACCTTATCTCTGTCTTTCCTAAAGTAGCCTACTAAAAGCTGTAATTTATGTTCTATATACTGTATGAAGCATGCATAAAGCACATCACACACAATTTGCTGTGAAGAAGATAATTCATGGGTGGAAATGACACATCCTCCACAGTGCTCAGTGCAAACAAGGGTTAAATTGGAATTTGTAATGTTGGGGAGGGGGGGGTCCCTTATTTCAGTGTTGCTATCGGTGCGCGTGCTGTGTGCAGGAGCAACAGTGACAGGGGAAATATCCCTACATGCAAAGAAAAATTAGCGTGATTGATCTAATTTGACAGAGTATGTGAACTATAACAAGGTCTGATCTCCGCTGACAGCTCTCTGCTCTGAAATGTGGCAGTGTGTAACAAATTCTCATGTCTCTGTGTCAAATACACAGTAGGAAAGATGGTGTAGGAACTGGTGTTTGAATAGAAGAACCAGTTAAGGGAATCATTGAGATTTTGCGTTTTACGGTGCTAGACACAGGCATTAATGATGTGCTAGGAGATGATTGTGTTAGCTTTAATTACCAAGAAGTGGTGCAATTTGAGTTTCTGTGATATTTTGCTCAAATCTTGTTTGCTGGTCATGACATTTTGACTTGAGCTTGAGCCTGCAAGCCACGTTAATGCGACACTTACTGAGATTATCCCTTGTTAAGTAGGTCTCAGTTTCATCCTGCAGTCCGTGGCACCTGTGCAATCTAATTAACAAAAGAGGGAGAGGGGGGTTATCTGAAACCTGGTTTCGGGGGAAACCTGAGGAAAATATACAGTTTTATATGATGAGAGCTGAAGCATATTTTGTTTAATTTCTACAGATTGTGAAAATATGGGCCATACATTCTTGGAGATGGATGTTGCAAAACATGCCCTCCAGTGACACACTAGTACTTGCACTACTTCTAGTTTATTACTGGAACAACTTTTCTGACTCTCATTAACATTTGCATCATTTAGAAACTTGTGAGGGGGTGGAGACAGTGGAGAAGCTGGAGGACAGAGAGGCCCCCACTGACCCTCACTCCACCCACTCAGTCCAGCTATTGAACATTTATCCTACTGGGTAAACCGAACATTCACGATGCCATCTGTTACTCATAAATCACAGCTGCACCTATAACTTCTCTGACTGAGTAATGTTTCTTGGTGGTGAAGTGGACCTCCCTAATGAGTAAAAAAAAAAAAAAGCCGTGCTGCAGTCTCACTGATTGCTGCCAGCAGTTCATTTCCTCATGGATATATAGGCTTCAAGTTAGTTTCTTCCTGATTCCTTCCCCAATACATGTGTTAAGACATTTATTCTGCTTTACCCATGTTGTTTTCTTTCCTTTTCAGCTGATCTCCTATCAGCACCCCCTGACCTGACCTCAGCAGCTGCCATGTACCGCGGCCCAGTTTACGCTCTCCATGACGTGGGTGACAAAATACCCATGACCAATTCTCCTCTGCTTGACCCGCTCCCTAACTTGAAGATTAAAGTGTACAATTCTTCAGGCTTAGTGACTCCACAGGATGACCTAGGAGGAGAATTTTCCTCTAAACTGTCACCTAAGCTGCCGCACTGCCTACTGGACAACGGTGACAACACAATGGGCCGGCGCACACAGACCCAGACGTTGCTCCGCACCAGGGATCCATCATGCACTGCTCTGGGCTCGTTCAGCTCCCAGGGAGGACAGCTTATTGTGCCCAACTCAGGTACTATACTAGCCAAAGATAGGTAGTGATTTTCCATATTTATATATTTTTATTTTATAGGTGATTCAGTTGGATATCAAGAAAAAATGTTGCATATTTCAAAGTATGCAGGAATGTAAAAAAGAAATAGTTTAAAAAACGAATAAACGAGCTTAGGTTCATGAAAAGCAGCATCTGCTACTTCCAGCAGATTCTATCAGTGTTCGTCTTAAAACTCATTAGCTGTCTTTTGTGAGTTATGATTGGAGCCACGTTTTTCATTCACTCAGTGGCACATCAGCATTTAGTAATAGCACCTCCACCTGTGTGGATGTGCATGTGTGAATGTCTATATGTGTGCACATAGTGAAAGGAAACTCCTCTCATTGTATAGCCTGATAGGAAATGAAATATACCATCAGCTTTTCTCATCGTGTCCTTAAATCTCTACTCTTGTTTCACTTAATAATGTGCTGGTGATGATGATCTCGGCCCACGTTTCCCTTAAAGATCCCATTAAAAAAAAAACATTAAAAGAAACTTCAAACACAAAACTTGCTGGTGTCTAAACTGGATTTCTGCCAGTCTCATAGTGATGACAAGACTCCGGGAAGTCACTATGTCTGACCAGGAAATGATCTGGCACATAATACCCTCCTCATAAAAGTGCAAGTTTACATTATTTATTTTGATTAGTGAACATTAGAGGTTGTGGTAGAGCCAGGCTGGCCGTCTCCTCCTGTCTTTATGCTGGGAAAAGTTTACTGGCTGCAGATTTTCTTTGATTTAGATTTAGTTAACACATTTGACAGTGATATCAATCTTGCCATCAACTCTCTGCAAGAAAATATATTTCAGAAAGTTGCTACCTCCACCAAGGAGGTTATGTTTTTGGTAGGGTTTGCATGCATGCGTGTCATTCTGTCTGAATTCTGATAAAACTTTGCAGGAGTGTATAGTGGGGTCAACTTAGCAATCCATTCAAATTTGGCTTACGTGCGCCAAGGTCTTCAAAGTCAACTTCATGATTTATTGGTTCAAAATTGACAGAAAGCCTTTTAACTATAAACTGATTCTTACAAATCCGGTGTGTACTGTCAACCTCTAGAAAGATTTCAAATATTATGGCATATTTGACCTCTGACCTCTCCTTCAAGGTCAATAGACTGATTTGAAAGGTCAAAGTGATAATAATGCTATATACAGCTATTTAAAACTATGTTCCTTACCACCATGGTTGGTATTGACATCGTATAGGCATATAGTGAATGATATATGGGGATTCTAAATATCACGTTATAGTTTGCATCCAAACTTCATATGACATGTGACCTCTGCCCTCACTTCACAAATTGACCCCAAAATGTGTGACATCTTTAAAGAAAGTATTGTCAAGAGAAAGAGAATGAATTCAAATTCAAATTCAAATTTTATTTGTCACGTACACAGTCATACACAGTACGATATGCAGTGAAATGCTTAGACAACTGCTCGTGACCTAAAGAAAAAAAAGGAAAAGGCTATGAATAAGCTAGGAAATAAATATGAAAAATTAAAAAGGGTAAATTTAACTAGGAAGGAATAAAATATAAATTAAGGTTAAAAATGAAATAACTGTACAACACAAATTAGAATGAAGGGTAAATTTAACTGGGAAAGAATAAGATAAAATATATAAATTAAAGTTGAAAATAAAATAACTGTACAACAAAATACACAGTATGGAACTATATAGGAATGTATGAAGAAATATAAATAGATAAATAAATATATACACAATAACAGCAGCTGTACAAGTATTAACTGGAAATGTGCTGCCTAGTTAGTTATAAATATACTGTTGTATAGTATTATATAATTATCTCAAGCTATTTACAAATCATTACCTATTATCCTTTACCTACTCCTACACACACCTACATGTTTCTGTAGTCAAAGTAAACATGTGTGATTCTACCCTTAACTGCCTTTTACAGCACTACAAACTTCTTAAAGTACATTTAAACAGAACAAAGAAAACAAAATTAATATATACAAATTACAGTGCTTTTCCCTTAAAAGTAAATACTGGCCAGAGAGTGAGCTGCCTCGGTGAAGGTTTATGCTCCCTGAGTGCTTCCTGTTTAGAGATTGCTTTTACTCAAAGCTTAGCTTCATTTCAGTTCTTAATAGAAGCTCGTTTTCTCCCCTGGAAAAAAGACTTGCCACCCATAAGTCAAATTTTCAGTTTATTATCTCTAGATTTCAAGTTGGGTATCTCAAAATTGTGACTTTCTGACTTAAGCAAGAAGCAAGAGGAAAAAAACCCTCAAAATTGGATTTTAATGGCAAATTTTATTTTGTTTTTTTCTGGGGCTCAAACAAGCTTCCAAACTTGTTACACTTGCTGTCGCTGTCAGTGCAATATGAAGATTTCAGTATGTGAGAGCTTAAATATAAAGAGCTCTTCAATAAAGTGAAAAATACAAAACCATTGCAGCTCTCAGTAGACACAGCAGTTCAAATCAACCATAAATGTTAACTTAAGAATTGTTAATCTTTGCAAACCCCAAGCAAACCTCTCAGTAAAAAGAAAAGAATTATTTTTAAAGCATGTGCAGTATCATTCAATACTTTGCTGTCTGTAGCAGTATATCCCTGATGATCTGCGACTTTGAAATAAGCTAAGCCATGTGCAGCCCATCAACATATTGACTGCACGTAGTATGACAAGAGTTGATGGATACCCAAGGTGTGTGCACCAGAAGTCCTGGAGGTGTCCCGTTTCAGGCAGCTTACATTAGCCATGCTGTCCTCACTTCAAACACATGCAGACTGTTTGTAACGCGCCGCAGATGCATGCTGACAGGCAGAGGCAAACTAGCAGTGACATTAAAGGATACGCAGACTTCTCACATTTCTTAAATTTCTCTCTTTTTTTTTCATTTTGATAACTGTAAAATGTTCTCAGCTGTTGGCTGCGCTCAGCCACCTCATCATGTTACATAGGAATAGGGAGAGGAAAGAGCACATTTGATATTTGATCTGTTTGTGAGTCTGGGTAATGAAATATTTTGTGGTGCTGTCACTGTGGCTGTTTGGTATTTTGCATCTTAAAATGCATTTCTCATCTCTTTGAAGCTTTGCTGTGAGGCAGAGTAGCAGTGCGCGAGACGTTCCCTTGGCAGAGTTGTGATTGCCTCGCTAGCTAGCTGGAGAAGCTGTCTGTCACCTTTTGAAAAGTTCAGTACAAGGACATGGGAAATCAATGAGCTATCTGAGATCCCTCCCCCACCACCACTCCAGAGAGAAGCCATGTGTGTGTTTGTGTGTGCGTATGCATGATGGAAATTGGGGGTTAGGCTTCTAAAAAACGCACACGCGCGTATCGGATAGGACATCTTATCGAATAAATCTGAGATGGAAAAATGTAAATCGCGCCTGCTGCAGCAATATGCCAAGGCTGTGACGAGCAAAGAGATCATTGATTTTTAGAAATGAAATTCCACATCATTTCCTGATACCATAAAGGAAGGTGGTAAAATTACATAGTTGCTGTGTGTGGGACTGAAAGGCAGTGCAATTATTATTGTGTTTATCCAGGAAAAATATTCATTTGAATAAAATGAAAAAAAATCGATTCATATCTCTGTAGTTGTGCAGCACTGCATGAAGACACACTAGTTAAATGTAAAATTATAATTTACCTTTCTATATTTGGAGTAGCCAGGATTCACCAGCCTGTTGGTCTCACTCTCTATACTCTCACATTCTTACAAAAGTCTCATAACAAGCACTGACAGTATAAAGACACCTCTGTCAACTTATCTTTTTTTTTGCTTTTTGCTTCCCAGGGGTTAGTCTGCTAATTCCTGCAGGGGCTATTCCTCAGGGCAGAGTGTATGAGATGTATGTGACAGTTCACAGGAAGGACAACATGAGGTATGCGATGACGCCCCAGAACCTTATTTGCTGCTGTCAACCGCTCCGTGTCACACGTACATACTGAGAGTGCCATCAGATTGTGGCTAAATATTGTATGTATGCTATCCCTGTGCGCCTCCAGGCCCTCGGTGGAAGATGGCCAAACGGTGCTCAGCCCCATGGTGAGCTGCGGACCCCCGGGGACCTTGTTGACTCGTCCGGTCATCATCACCATGCATCACTGTGCCGTGTGCGATGGCCAGCAGGACTGGCTGATCCAGCTCAAAAGCCAGTCGCCGCAGAATCAGTGGGAGGTGAGATGTGAGATTCACAGAGAAATTTGTGCTACAGTAGACTGTATCTATCGACTGCGCTCGAGTTTCAAAAATGGGCTTCTGACGGTCGCACGCACACAAGAATTGAAATTATGTGTTTACAAGCGAATCTCTGCTCAGTGTGTCAGCGAGCAGTGAAAAAGAAAAGATGCTGTGAGAAATAAATCCATGATATGGCATGGGAGAACTGATAGGATGGAGGAGGTGAAAGGGATCGACGTCCCCTGCGTTCTTTGTCCAACTCATAATAGTACTCAAAGTAAACCCCTGCTGCACCTAGGAGCTGAAATAGTACATCTCTAATAGCAGGGAATGGACTGGGACTGTTTTCTTGCCCAGGCTGTTTCCTTGTACCTTTATAACGGCAGGTTTTTCATCAGGTGTGAACATGTATGGGGGTTTTTCTGTTCGTGTTGCTTTTTTTTTTTCAAGTCTTCCCTTTTGCTGTTTTTGTCACACACACTGATGCAGAAATGGACCAATTACCAAGGGATCATTTGCAGAGAAACTTGAAACAAATCTGCTTGTTAGGAGGGAACTTTGTTAGAAATGTGCCAGGTGGTCAGCTTACCTCCAAAACATATCTCTCAGCACCTCACCTGACGTGGCTGACCTTCTTGCGGGCAGCTATCAGCATCTTTTTCTTAGCTGTCAAAAGAAAAGAAGTCTTCCTTCCTTGTGGTTTTTAATTAATTTTCTACTCAAACCTTTTTAAGGAGAAAGGCTCCCTTAAAGATAAAAGCATTTAATAAAGGTTAGCAGGAGCAGGGCGCAGTACAGGAAGCATAATGAAAGGCAATGCTTTAGTGATACGTAACACGACTCCAGTCTACCCAGGCTTATTGCATAAATGATAAGATGATAATCAAAATGCACATTACTCTCAGGAAGGCCATGTCCAAATATATAGCATCAGTCTATACCCAATAATAAGGCCTTCTGTCAGATCATCATTAAAAAGTGACTTAAATAATGTAATTTTCAGCAAGGCCTTGCATAATTTCCTCTTGCTGATGCGATGGCATTACTTACAGAGCCGAGGAAAAACTGCCCAACTGGCCCCCACATGCCTTCGTGACATTGATGAATTACTTGGACACAACCAATAAAGCTCAGTGTAAACTGAGGATTTTTAAAGAAGAAATGATTCCTGATTACATCTCCGTCCTGCCACAAACGCAGATGGTAATATGTGATGTGACGGCGGCTTCCTTCGTATGAGTTTCCTTTTCCCTCTGAGGCCAGCCTCGGCGCTGCATGAGTGAAATATTGCTTTATATGACATGCTCTGTCAAAATGTGTTTTCATCACTGCAGTGGATACAGGAGAGATGAGCTCCTCCAAAGGAGTTTTTCACGGATATTTATATTGAGAATAATCAGTTCCGTTGGCGTCTGGGAGCCCGCAGCCCTCCCCAGTTGATGCACGCACGCACACACCGATTCACACACAATCTCATGGTGTTGTGATGATGATGAAGATGGCGTGTCATATAATGAGGAACATGTGGGGATTTCTGCTTCAGTAACTCTCCTACTTAAAATCCTCCCACGTCTACATGGGAGGGGGAAAAAAGCCGGCTGATGAATTTTTGACTAAATTAACGTTTGTATGTTTGTATGTTTAATTGTTTCTGCCTGCACACAGTACTACATATGAAGCAGGGCCACTTTTTCACTGTGCGTTCCAATTATCCCCCAATAAGGATCCCTAGTGCCATCCCACAGGAGCAGTTAAGAGTCTAATGATCTGCCATAATACTGCTGTTAAACGGCCTAGCTCACAATAAAATGCTGTAATTCCTCTTCTGTCTCTCATAATAGGCTGAATTAATACCAGTGTGCCACTCTGTGAGAGTGTTTGGATTAGAGCGAGAACGACGGAGAGACGGAGAGAAAGAATAAGCGAGATGAAGAGAGATGAAGAGAGGGTTAAAGAAAAAAGAGGGAGAGTCGCAGGAGGCTCCTCAGACCTTGCAATCCTAATGAAAGAGAAATGTGTCCTGGCATTGGTGTCGTTACAGGGGTCAACTGCAAATAGTCGGGATACTTATGCTTCCATTTTCCGCGTGAGACAGTCTCAAATATTAGTAATACACACACACACTAACTGTTACTTCCAGAGTACACGGCTTCTGTGAAAAGGTCAGGACATTAATTGTGCTTTCTACATTAAAATGCAATTTAAATTCATTCTGTTTCAGTTAAATGTGACTGAGCACATTTCTGTGTGGCAAAAAAGCAACACATGTACAAGTTTAGCTATTAATTACCCAGTGGCAAAGACTTCATGTAAAAATATGTGGTTTTCACTAATTAGCCAATCCAATTTAACGTTTACAAATCCACACTTGATGCTTTTAAATACACTCTTTTAAATACACAGACTCACTACTGTAGGCCAGTTAATACATCCATAACTCCACGCAATATACTATACAGTAACTCTGTAGTCTAGCGGTTAACAATAACATGTAAAAGATCACACAGTAGTTCAAGACCAGGAGCAGACACAAATCCCAGGAAGGGCTGTAACAGGAAGTGCATCCACAAGAAAAATCTGTGGTGACCCTTTAATAAAGAGGCAGCTGAAAGAAAAAGAAGACACTGTACCGATTATTTATCTAATCGGTTTCAAACATGGAATTCAGCAACAAGCTGTGACATTTTCTATTCTTTTGATAAAATTGCTGCATATTTTCCAGTTTTTCTGCAGATGTACAAATAATGCAAGAATATGGTTCTCACATAAGTTTCCCTGGACAACATGCATTAAACCGTTTACAGTTGCTGTTCTCCTGAAAGCCCCTTTGCAACCCTCCTCTGTACCGTCACCTCCTTTTCATGCTGTGTTTGAGGTAATCGGGGTGATGTTTGTTGAGGTCTACTCTGGGTCATTTCTATCTTGGGAAACAGCTGGGGAATTATTTCAACCACTGGATGCATTTCAGAGGCTTTACTCTTGATTTATATGCTTTTGACTGAGTAAGTCAAATTTATGACTTCAAAACTTCATGTGAGCTTCTTCATTTCACGTGAAAGAAAATAATTCAAATTACGTCAATCTTATATTTTGCTCCAGTGGTCCAATGACAAATGTAGCTACACAGTGCTGTGCAGGTCGAGGGATTTATCCCTCTCATAGCACTGTAGGCTCAGGCATTCAACATTCTTCCTTTGCCAATGTATTCCTCAGTTCAGTGAATTTCATAAACTTGATCCATGATGCATGTCATGCTGGCACGCCCTGTCATGTGCGTGTATATATACATATGCATATATATAAACAGAACTGTGACATCTATAGCACTTTCTACACTGCAACATGGACACAATTTTAAGGTTTATGCGCGTATGCAAACACAGCACTGCAGGCTACTTGGTTTTTAATATCTTGAATTATCCAAGGACACTTCAGCATTGTATGCAGGAGTTGGGGATTAAACCACCGACCACAATCAGCCCTATGCCATTAAAAACAACAAGGTTTTTGGGAGGTCATGGGTAACCACTGAGCAATGTGCAGGTCCATCAATGAAATGTAACTGAAACAAGAAGCATTACCTGTGCAAATGAAAAAGCAACTTCAGAGTACTAAAGTCGACTTCTAAATAGTTGAACATGCACAATTTGACACTAAAATCATTCATAAATGCAAGTCTTGCTTACTTTATGTAAAGAAAAATTATATTTTCCGCCTTTCTCATCAGCCATCACGAAAATGACTGCAGTTTTCAAATGGCTAATGGGCTCGATCAAAAAAGTAATCAAAAGAGAGCATGCATGCCAGTTTTGGTACTTGTATCTATCTCTGAACATTTTTGCTGTAATGTGAAGTTATCTGCTTCACGAAACAGATCAATACAACCAAATAGAAATGACAGCTGTAGCAGTATTGTGCGAGCTATAGTTTGGTCTTACTTAACAGCAAATGGAGATATGTAGGGAAAATTGGATATGGCATATTTTGCTCTAGTCAAAAATCGTATTAACCATGCCCCACTTCTATTTTTTGCTTGATACATACATAACAAAACCCAGGCTTATTCTTCAACATTCCTCTTTTTTCCCCTTTCTCCTTGTCCACGCTCTAGGATATAGTGGTAGTAGGAGAAGAGAATTTCACCACACCTTGCTATATCCAAATGGATGACGAGGCTTGCCACATCCTGACAGAGACGCTGGGCACCTACTGCCTCGTCGGTCAATCTCTCAGCGCTGCCACCACTAAGCGCCTCAAACTAGCCATCTTTGGCCCCGTCACCTGCCCAGCCATGGAGTATCACATCAGAGTCTACTGCCTGGACGACACACAGGACGCACTCAAGGTAAATGCGCAGCACGCTGTACTGAATGTGTGCATAGCCTTTGTCTCATTATTTGTATCACTGAAATGAATATAATTGTGATTTTTTTTTTTCCCCACTGTAACTGAATTGTTTATGCGCAAGCACAGCCAGCAGATGATGTGTGGGAGGCAGAATGAGAAATCTTTGTGTTGGTGTGTCACAATAAGGAGATACAAGCGCCTGTATTTGAATAACGTAGCTGCTGCAACAACACAAAATAAGCCACATATATCCCTCCTTCTCTACTGTTGTCTCATCACCTCAATTCTGTTTAATACCTTCATGCGCCTGCATGAAGGAAAGATAAGGAAGGATTATTGTACTGAGGAGGGATATTGAACACAGTTATTAAGTTTGGGAATGAGTAATGAGAAGTGATAGTGATCCTGCTGCAAGGACACAGAAGTTGATTTCAGGTTTGCATGTCTAGATTTAAGTTTGTAAAGCCCTGCGGATGATTATAACGTAATATTTTATTAAAAACTAATCATTTATAAATGTACTTGTGAGAATTCCCCAGAGACTATTATCACAGGAATACAGCAGCAGTTTGTCTGCTTTTCAACTGGTATAAAGAAGAAGCTTTTTGAGGTCGGTATAGATGGTGTCCTTGCTAATCAAGCTTGCTTTTGTTTATTTAGGAAGTCCTTCAAATGGAGAAGCAGATGGGTGGGAAACTGTTGGATGAACCAAAGACTCTCATCTTTAAGGACAGCACCCACAACCTGAGGCTTTCCATCCATGATGTTCCCCACACATTATGGAAGAGCAAACTGCTAGCCAAGTACCAGGTAAACTGCTCATTTTACTCCTTTTTCAGTAAAAGGCCATGCACAGTGTGCCACATGGTTTCTCCCACCGATGCAACTCCTCTACACTTTCCACTTCTCTGCAGGAGCTTTCCTTTCAGCAGGTGTGGAGCGGCTCACAAAGGAACCTCCACTGCTGCTTTACCCTGGAGCGCTTCTCTTCCAGCACGGTGGACCTGACCTGCAAAATATGTGTGCGCCAAGTGGAAGGAGAAGGACAGATTTTTCAGCTGGACACTACACTGTCGGAGGTAGCGTTTGATACTTGGAGTAAACATCCCCCCCCGGCCCCTGCAGGTGGATGCTGGGCCGGCGGAAGGGTTGAAGCAGCAGGCAGTGATGCAGGGCATCAGCACCACTGACTTGTCAGAGGGAGATTGGAGATTTTGGAGCCTAAAAATAACAATAAATTGGGTGGGGACGGTGTATGACACGAGGAGAGTGAAGCATGTAAATGTGTAGGACAGTCAGGCTCAAGTTGGATGCCAGACCTTTAAGTATAACAAATTAAATACCATCTGATTTCATTATATTCACATAAAAGAGCACTACACGACTAGCACTACAGGCTGAGGAAAAATGCTTGTATTTGATTTTGTAATGAACTGTTTCCCTCCTAATGCTTTCACTTGATTTATAAAGGCTTAAAGTAATTATTCACCTTGACTGGATACGGGGCATAGCCTTCGAAATTATAATGGAAACCTCAAAGGTCTGTGCGACTTTTGTGCTCTGCTTTCACATGAATTTTGCATCCAGAGCTGTTTTGACTCTTCCCCTCCACCTCGCCCTCATTGTCCTTCCACCGAGCCAGACGCTCAGAATGAATTTAACCTCGTTTCCATTTCCTCTTCCCACTTTTTGCAACGTTCACAAAAACTGGCAAGGTGTGAGACAGGGGAGTTTCAACCATGCCGCCTACATAGAGTCTTGCTTATGAAAGGGGGGGGCACAGGAGGGTATAATAAGCCTGTGTCCCCCCCCCCCCAGTCATGCTGCACTTGCTTTACAAAGGCCATCTGGCTAGGAGAATAGAGCTTGAGGGATGGAGGAGCACTCATGCTTTGTGCTCAGTAATGAGATAAATTACAGTACATACAGTGCAGAGCTGTGTTACTGCCTGGCCTTGGTTCATTTGTCTCTGGGTCTTGATCTGGTTTCTGTAGCCAGACATCCAGTGCTTAATCCTCCAGATGCAGTATATTTAAAAGAAAATCACTCAGCTTGCATCAGTAAATGGATGGCGACGCAACGAAGGGTTTTCAATTTTTTTTATGGCACCTGGAAAAAGAAATTTCCTGTGCTACAAATCCATTTGAACTACATTATGTTTCATTTTGCGAGGTGTTGAATTATGTCCAGGCAGTCTGCAAACTAGGGGGGAAAAAACCACAGCTACAGTCTGTGTCTCTGCTTTAATCCCTCTCATTCTCTCTTTACAGGATTCCCAGAGTATTGACACATCTCTGCTGGATCCTGCCAGCAACATCACGACACTGGTAGGGCCAAATGCCTTTCGCATCCCTGTTTCTATCCGTCAGAAGCTGTGCGGCAGCCTGGACGCACCGCAGACCAGAGGCAATGACTGGAGGATGTTGGCCCACAAACTCAAGCTTGACAGGTGGGTTGACAAACAATGAAAAGGGTGAAATGGTGACTTACATTTAGGACCTCTGGGATCACAGTCTGGCCACAGAAACAAGCTTTACTTTAAAGTTAAATAGTTTAAACAAAACTATTTTTCTGTTAATATAGACAACTAAAATGAAATATATTAGAATTTGTTTTAAAAAAGTAACTATTCATTTATCCATCCAGCAGGCCAGCCATCTGTACATCTTATATACAGGGAGTGCAGAATTATTAGGCAAGTTGAATTTTTGAGGACTAATGTTATTATTGAACAACAACCATGTTCTCAATGAACCCAAAAAACTCATTAATATCAAAGCTGAATGTTTTTGGAAGTAGTTTTTAGTT